GTCGACGAGGCTAGTTTGTTCAAGGAAGAACCCGCCTTCAATGCGGTGGACATTCTTCCTAAGACAACGCGCGACGGGACCGAGGTTCTTAACCTTGTAGGTTGCGGTGAGTTCGTCGACCATTCTCTTGATTGTGGTGTCTGACTTCGAAAACACGAGCAGATCGTCTACGTAGAGGCCACAAACTGTAATTTTGCCGCCGTCCCAATGGTAGTACAAACACGGGTCCAATTGACTTCGCTTGAAGTCGAGTGCTATGAGTGCCTTGTCTGCTTCTTCGTGTCACAACATGCCTGACTGTTTGAGTCCATAGAGGCCTTTCCGTAACAGTCCGACGTATTTCTTTGTATCGACGTCAAAACCTTCGGCGAGTTCGATGTATATGTCGAAATCTGTCTTCGCGTTCAGGTAGGCTTGCGGGAAATCCAAGTGCGTGATCTCACACTTGAAGATAGCGGCGAGGACGTAGATAAGTCGCACGCTGGCTTGTTTGATTACGGGTGCGTAGGTATTTGAGTAGTCCACTCCATAACGCTGAGAGAAACCGCGAGCGACCAAGCGAGCTTTGAACTTGTCGACGTTTCCACCTTAGTCGTATTTGACTTTGAACACCCATTTGTGTGACACTATGTTGGTGTGCTTAGGTCGCTCGACGACTTCCCATGTGCCGTTGCCGACGATGCCGTCGAGTTCCCGCATCATTGCCTTTCGCCATTCGATGGCTTCCTTGCTGGCCATAGCTTGACGCACCGTTGTTGGTTCTTCCACGGTAAGAAATACCGAGTGAAATGTCTCTTCGGCCAATAGCTTTGCAATTAGGGCTTCGGACTGCTTTCCTTTCGTCCTCGACACCTCGGCAGCACGTTGCTTGCGGGTTCGGATCGTTAAGTCGGCTGGAGGGGCTGTCTTCTTGGCACCTTTGGTTCTTGGCGATGCCGTGTCCTCCTTCTCAGTACTGGACGTTAATGCTTCCTCGCTTGCCCCCAGGAACTCCACCATGTCGCGTCGTGGCGTTGGTGGTGCGATGTTTCGGACGTCTCGGGTCACAATGACTTTTCCTTGCTGTGGGAGCCATACGTGGTAACCCTTCGTTTCTTCGCTTACCCCCAGTATAATACCCAATTCTGCTCTCTTCTCGATCTTCTTTGATTTGGGGGCTTGGTAGGTGGTGCAATGACTTCCGAACTGCACGATGTGGCTCACCTTGGGCAGTCCACGACTTGGGTCCGCCGCTTGAAGTGGTGGCGTGTTATTGTCGTTCCCTTTGCAAGGAACGCGGTTGCGTATGTATACAGCGTAATTGGCTGCATATCCCCAGAATGTGAGCGGAACATTGCAACTCATAAGCATTGTCCTAACGTCATTCGCCAGGACTCGGATTGTATTCTCCGCCAGTCCATTAGACGCCGACGTATCCGGCTCTGTGACCTGCTTGCGGATCCCTTTTGACTTCAAGAAGGCGTCCAACTCGGTCGAGTTGAACTCGCCTCCGCCGTCGGTACGTACGACCTTGGTTTGTTTCCCGTATTGTCGCTCGATGAATAGGATGAATTCCTTGAGCTTCTGGACTTGGTCGGATTTCTTCTTGATAGGGACTGCGTATTTCAACTTAGATGCGTGGTCGACGTAGACGGCTACGTAGCGGTTGTGGTTGCGATCGGAGGGCTTGAGTGGCCCAAGCAAGTCAGCACAGACGACTGCCCCGACTTCGTCCGTGGGTGCAGAGTCCCCGGTGTTTGTCTTCGGTTGCGCGTTGCGCGTTTGTTTCCCTCGCGCACAATCGATACAGCCTATCGTAGCGTCGTTCGTGGCGCGCGTAATATGCATGTCGTCAGTGTCGTCGTGCATGTTAGCGAGTTCGAGAATGGCTGCCTTAGAGATATGACCAAGTGCGGCGTGCCACTCGGCAAGAGATCTCTTGGGTAAGTGGACATGGAATGACATTGCTTCATTGCCTTCCGTAGGTAGTGCCGTCGAGTGAACGCACTCGAGGATTGACAATCGTCCTTTGCGTGTGCCAGTGGTCAGGACGCGACGACTGGATCGATCGATGAATTCGATGTCACGTCCGAACAGTACATCGATACCATTGAAGTTGAGTGATGTAATGGACATTAGGTTGGCCGAGATCGATGGGACGTAGTGGACCTCGTTGAGGCGGATCTTGCCGCCGTTCACTAGATCCAAAATTGCCGGCCCCTTGAGTGTGGCCATGACGTGATCGTCGTTGGCAATGCGGAAGCGTAAGTTGGAGCCGTGGGCGTCAATCAATAACGATGGATTGTTCGTTAGGTGGTGCGTGCATCCAGAGACACAGACCCAGTCGTCAACAGTTGTAGCTTGGCGAATGACCATTGCTCCGGCGTCCGGTGCGTCATTGACATGGCTGCCGCGAACAAGGTACGAGACGATATCCGAGTCGAAGTCACCATCCTCTGGAAAAGACAACGATTCGGCGAAGATGAAGTTCGCAGTGGCAGTGGGTTCTATAACAGCGGTTTTGCGCGTCTCGGAGGTTGTCATTTGGTTTCCCTTGGCTGCGTTGGCTCTGCCAGTTTTTCCTGCCTTGGCCTTCGCTTCGTGGCCAAGAGCAACTACTGGACACTCTTTGGCCCAGTGTGTCCCTTCGTTACAAAGGTAGCACGGTTTTATGGGCTTATTGTCTTGCTTGCTCTTATTCTTCTCTTTAGTAGAGTCGCCGCCTTTGCCCGAGCGTTGTTTACTCCCTGGCTTGTTGCCACCGCCGCTGTATGCCTGGTTCGCTTGTCCGGTCTCCTTTCCTCCTGTTTTATGACGGCGGCCGAAGTCGATACCAGTGCCTGTGAGGCGAGTCAAGATGCCGACCATACGGTGCTGTTCGGCTACATCATTCCTGGCGCGGGGATTGAGTTGGATGGTAAGGTCATTCTTCTTTGATGGACATGCATTGTTGATGAGGCATTCGAGTACAAACTCGTTTCCTATGCGGGCCATTGACTGAACGTGATGCAGGTAGGTGAGATGGTCGGTCCAACTCCCAGCGCTTGGTCTTCTGCATGAGGGTCTTCAGTTGCGTTTGGGTCAGGTGTGTTGAGTAGCTTGACTCCAGACGTGCGGACATAATAGTGTACGACTGCGTAGGTTCCTTGGCCTTGCTATCTTGAGCGAACGCCTTAGCGTTGCCGGTGAGACTCTGCATGAGCGCATAGAACTTGTGTTGATCGGACCAAGTTGTGTTGTGGAATGCTACATTGGTTGCAATGGCGCCTCGAAGATTGACAGCCAAGTTGGGAAGTCGCTGCCTAATCCCGGGTACTTTTCTTTCCCATCGAAGAGCGGTTGAATCTTGAAGTCCTTCAATTTAGGGTTTCGTGGGCGTGGGTGGGCTCCCCGATGTCTTCGGGAATCCGGCGGTGCATCAATGTCATCTCCCTCGCTGCTTTCGCCATCGCTTGGCTCGTAGGGGTCGCCACCTGCGCCGCTTGCGTCCTTGTGAGGCTTGCCGTTGCGTTTCCTGCCACGGTTGTCGCGGTCATCGCCTCTTTGACTACTCTCGCCACTGCGTCCGTCGTCGTTGTCGTCTTCGTCGTCCCCGCTGTCGCCACAGTTGTCGACTCGGAGCAGGTTCGTGAACAACTTCTTTGTGACGGTTGGTGGGGTGGTAGATGTTTTGGTTGCCGTAGAGATTGATGGAATGTTGGAACTCCGTAGTTGACTGATCAGTTCTCGTAGGCTCTGAAGCTCAATCAATAGTTCCTTGTCGGCGTGGACAGCTCGATCGTCGTGTTTGGCGTTGGTGGCCGCTCGCTCCAGCTCCATCTCGCGCTGCCAAGCTGCCTGGTTCTGTTTCATGGATGCCAGGCGGGCATCTATGGTTCGTTCCCAGTCAGCCCTCTTTCGTTTCACGTTCCTGACTGTTGCGCAGCTCACGAAGTAGGTCAGTGTCCGGTTTTCCCTTCTCTTCTTCCACGGACACAATTAGTGCCTGAACTTGTACTTGTGTCGTTGCTTGTGTAGATGAGGTGGCGCGCACAAGCTCCATGAGGGCATTCGACTGCTCGACTTGGAGTCGTAATAGCTCGCGGATCTCGTTGCTTGCTCGATCTTGGCGGTCGAGGTGCCCGTCGATGCCCACTTGGTAGGCCTCTTGGTGAATCATAAGCTGGTCACTCAGCGAATCCATTAGAGCGGGATTGCTGGGCGAGGAGTCGGGCTTCGACGGCACTCGCATTCGTTGCAGTGTCGACTCGATGTTGGGCCAGAGTTTCTTCGAGTGACACCTGGCCTTGGTGGAGGTTGGATAGGGCTACATTGGTTGTGTTTGTTTCCATGATAAGAGCAGGCTGGCGGCCCTGCAGTTCAGATAGGGCAGAGTATTGATGGGCGAGTTGCCTGTCGAGTCCGGCATGTATTGCATCTTGTGTTTCCCGGGTAGCCAACTCTTGCGTTTGTAGTGCGACGTGAACGCGTTGAGCCAGTGCGTCTTCAATGGCCACGATTCGTTGACTTTTCTCTACGGCCAGATAGGTTTGCGCCATGCTCATGGCGGTTCCGACTTTCTCTGCGAGGTTCGTCAAAAGTTCGGAGCTTAGTTCACTGATTAGGTTCTCCTGTGTCCCTAGTTGTCGCTCTTGTATGCCGTGAACTGCGCGAACGATAGCATTTGGCGCTGCCATGATCATTGTAGATTGAGCATAAAATGCTTGCATGGCCAGCAGCGAGATATTCGCTGGGGTTGAACATGTCCTGGCGCGACCCATCGCGGGGTCAGGTTGACAGATGCCTTCGGTGAGGATACTTATAGCATTGACTGCAGTGTTCATTTCATCCTTCGTTGTAGGATTCGAACCTCGATCTCGTGAATGCTGGTTGGCCTGCGCTTGCCTGTCAGACTGCCGCCTGGTGACGTGACGTTGCGGTAGTCCAGGTCGGGCATGTCTTCGTGCTCCTTCAGCTCCAGCTCGATCGTTCGAGCTAGAGCGGCGGATGCTTTGGCTTGGGTACGTCTTTCTTGTACATACTCTTCAACGAGCATTCGTATCTCTTTGTTGATGACGATTCGTTCGTCGTTTTACATGCGCACTAGGGCAAGCAATACGGTAAGTGTGGTGACCATCTTCTTGGCTTTCGGCTCAAGGGTCGTTTGTAGGTTTCGAAACTGCCTTGCGAAGAAGGACTTTCCTGGAAGGTTAGGATGGTTGGCTGCCGCTTCATCTTGCTGGGTAGCTAGGCCAGCTTCCGGGTAGCCATCCTGTGGGTCTTTTGCTTTAAAAGCGTGACGTTCGTAAGCCGTTGGGCTCATAAGCTGATAGATAACTATTGTGTTGACTCGAGTTGGCAGAGGATCACGATCGCACGCAGTAGATGTAGCTTGGGCAAGCGTCCTTGCTCCAAACAGGTGACAGAACAGTGTTAGATGTAAAGTTACTTATGGTTATGGAATTATGTAATTGGATCTAAATATAGATAGCTACATGAAACCTCCAGCTAAACTTGCATGATTCTATCGGTGAGAGCGAACAAGTTATTGACAACCTCCACCTTTATGCATAACGTTAGTAGAATCCCGTCCACCATCACATGTAGACACTTGTAGGAACTACGAAAAGCAACTTAGCCAGCGCCCGACGCCTCAGCTTATCGGCCGCGCCTAGCTGTACATGCGGTTGGAATTGTACCAGTGCCTGGTCAACGATATCTTACAAGCACCAGATAAGTACTAACGTTAGTATAGAAGCACGCTCGCTGTCCTATGAAGCGGGCGCTTTGGTGCCAGAGTGGAGTGCAGCGATGGTGGTGGACAGCTATGTGATGTCCACCATCACCCATCGATGCACTACACTGAGCAATTGTTAACGAGTGATCCTGCAGCCGCCGCGACAGCGCGTAAGTGGCAGGTCCATCACATTGGCTTTTGATATTCCTTAGAGCGGATCTGGCTGGATGCACGAAAAATGGCATAAAATGGCCGTATTTCCCAAGAAAAGTTGCCAAAATTGAAATATTCCATTTTTCGAGATTTTGTACACCAAAGTTCAAATAATTATCCTGCAATTTTATTGAAAATCGGGTGTTTTATGGAGGTTTGTGTTCACGTTGAAGTCTTGCACTTCAATCGGATCTATTTTAACTAGTTTTCCATAATTCAACTGGCATCCAGACAACTTTGCAGATCCTTCTTTTCCTCTTTTCTTCATGGGATATAAGACTTTGGGAAATTTTTGCAGACTTGCCGAAATGGTTTATGGCATAATTTTATGGGTTGATATGTCAACCACAGCCAAACTCCCCACCTGACGGTGACTCGTTAGGGGATCCTTGTATGGACGTGCCCTAGAGGTGAGCTTATTGGACTCACCAGAAGTAGACGGACATCCGGTTGTCCGGATACTGAAACCCATACACACCCAGACCCAGTATCCGTATTTGTAGTACAAGGCCGGCGGGCCTGTCTTCGTAGCGAGACTTCGTGAAGAGTCTTCACTGAAGACTGTTCACCAAGTGTCGCTGTTAATAGTGCTCTAGACTCGACGGGGCGACTTCATAGAGCAACGTGTATGCTGTGTAATGTTGTCCACTTGACACATGCAGGTATTTAAAATCTTGCGCTGTTTCTAAACGACCCACCACCAATAACAAATGACATCGTTATTGCGTTAGCATCGCTTGTTCTTACCGTTAACGCTCACTCGAACCCCAGAAGTACCCATAGCGGCAACGTTAGCTGTGGCATTTGTCATCGCGTCGAGCACATCACTAAACGAGAGGTCATGAAAGGACTTCTGAGAAAATGAGCACGGAAAACTCCAAAGGGCGCGGGTTCTAGCATGGGACACAGGCAGCGTAAGGTATGTCTGCACGATTGACAACGTGCGGTGCCAATCCGTCGAGCACAGCATGCATCCGAATAACTTCTTTACAGTTAACCGGAAGCAATGCGATGACACGGATGATGATAAGTTGCGAAACGTAAATTATTGTGTCCTTATCATTTGTCGAGATTGTGATGATGAGGGTAATGTAAAGATGAGTTGCGAAACCACTCTATTAGAGAGAATGCTCGGATAACGACATTGTTTCCTGGGAGCTACGCGATCAAGCTCAAACCTACAGAAAAATATGTTAAGGATATATGGCTAACATTGATTACTGCGAAATATATTGTATAGCGAAATGTTCAAACCCACATTCAAATAAAACCATACTTAATTAGACTGTAAACTCAGTCAATAGCTCCGAGTTATGCGTTCCCGTATCAGCAACTAACTCAATGATCATCTTTGGCGCAGCACCCTCAATGTTGGTCACCTTCATGCATTCTCGTTGCACTCGAACGGAAAATGGCAGGTGTATCGCAACTTCGGTAACCGGAGCCGACCCGTTCTTGCCGCAAACGCTTCCGTAGGGCTTTTGCAAGCCCGATATTTTAGCATACGTCCGGTGGTTGGGTGTTGCCATTTCACTTGCAAACAACAACTGTGGTTTCGGGGTTTCGGGACCCCGAAACCGCGTTCCTGAAAGTCTACGGGACGGAACATGTACATGCAACCATTGCAGCCGTTGACGAAAAGACGTATCGAAAGTGGTCATGGATGTACATCAAAGCATTTGAAGACCTAACGGAGGTGTATTGTTTCATTACAAGTTGTCTCATGTGTCTCAATTGTACGTGTAGGTTGTGTTCAACAATCGGTTTGATGAAGCACCGATGGGAACAAACCTTTTCGTATCACTAGATGGAACCGACTGTCCAGTTCAGGAACCATTTCCTTTCGACCCATCCTGGTGGTCGCACAAGTTGAACCGAGCTGGGATACGTTACGAAGTCGGTATTTGTATCAGAACGGGGCATATTGTGTGGGTAAATGGTGGAAAACCATGTGGTCAATGGTCGGATCTAGCTCTCGCGCGTGATGCATACGTGCTCGCGGTTAACGAAGGTGAGATGACACTCGCTGACAAGGGATACATGGATCGAGCGTACTTTGTGAACCCTCGATACTACCCAGCATCCTCAGTTGCTCAGAAAACAGTGATGTCTCGACACGAAACTGCCAATGCTCGGTTGAAGCAGTTCGGTGTTTTGCACAACATATTCCGACACGATATCAGCCTCCACCCGTCGTGCTTTCTTGCGGTGGTAAACATTGCTCAGGTTGCAATCAAGTACGAGTCTCCGTTGTATTCGGTTAACCATATCATTAATTGAATGGTTTTTTAACTTGCCTATTTGTTGTTTCCCGCTTCTCCATGGATGGCACATTATGTATTCGGAGACCATGCTCTTAACGCTTCAGGTTACAGGGTATTTATTATCCGAGGGTTCTCTTTCCGAAACAGGTATTATAGGCATGGTCTCCGAATACATAATTTGCCATCCATGAAGCCATGACGTTATCCGAGCATTATTGACGTTATCCGTACATTATTTTCTTGTACCGAAACCCCGAAACCCCGAAAAAAAGATAATCCAAACTCATTTAACCATGAAGCCATGACGTTATCCGAGCATTATTGGCGTTACCCGTACATTATTTTCTTGTAGGACCCCTGGTATGGGTTTCAGTATCCGGACATCCGGAAGTCCGTCTCCTTCTGGTGAGATCAATAAACTCACCTCGAGAAATGCCCTACCATTGAACAATACGATTCGACTGTTAACAGTAAGTCGAGCTCTTGGCTCCTACTCGCCAGACGACGGCTTGATGGGCTTGACGTCTCCGCCATTGAACACGGTGACTTCCTTGGCAAATTGGTTGATGCCTTTGTACAGTTCGAGGCCGCGTACCGGGATGGTCGACGCGCTCGCGTTAAATGCACTGCCGAAAATTTCAATCGTCAAGGAGGGCTTTTTGAACTCGCGGAACGCGTAATCTTGGAACGTCCCATACGTAACGTAAAATGTGTACAACTGTCGAGGGTCATACTCCCCCATGGCGCTTCGCAATCCACGCCCGAGGACTTGGAACTTCTCGTCAAACCCCCCGCCGATGGTCTCGTTATTGTCCCCATATG